GAAAATAGAAAACAGAATCACGTGAAATCTATATCGCATATAGAACGATTACTAGTTGTATAAGCCTTAATCATTTGACATAACGAATGTAGAGAGATGTTCATTTCAATATGGTATACTCACTCCACTGGAGTATGCTCGATCGGCAGCATCTTACGCGAGAAATCTCGTTTACATATCAATTACCTAAGTGCAGGTACAAATGTTTGGATACAGACATAAGAGTTATCTTAGAGATTTTAGCTTATAATTTAAGTACCTTAACGCTATTAACAGATGCATCGCAGAGGCCACCCAATGTACTTACAACATTGCAAATGTGCCTGTAAAATCGATAGTCTAAATCTATAGTAAAAATCTAAGAGTTTGAAAGGGGTCTTGAGATTATTTAGACATTCTTGATCAATATTCAATAATTATTAGAAAGTATTATACCAATCGGAGGCGCAGTCATCACGAAGAAGGGTATCCCACCAAAAGATCTTTTCACATTTGCCAAGAAACTGTCTCACACTGTCTGACAACATTTGTTTTCCTCTGGTAATGGTTACACGCGTTATGGCAGCCGATGCAGCAAACTGTTGAATATCAAATGCACAATAGTTTGCCCACCGTTATCGTCTCGTATTATAACGCAACGTTTTAGAAATAAATTAGTATGTTTCATCCTTATTCGTTATACTACTATCCAAAAATGGGTTACTGTTTGGAAAATCAATCTTGACGTTGTTTATACTGCGATCATCATACAAAGGAATCTAATGTATTTATAATACTCATTAACATATTTATTTATCTGGACATATATCTATATTTAAATATTCTAAAAAAATATATAACTTTTCTACCATCAAATTGTTGCTCGTTAAATCATTAAGCAAAATACTTTTTTCTTCTCTTTAATGTCCTTCCTGATATATATGATTATAGAAATAATATCGTTATGATATTAATATATTTGTTATTGCAATATAATAAAATTTGAGAGAATGTAACTTTTTTAATCTTTGATTATTCTCTCTAATTAAAAGCGATATCTCATTAGTTTACATTTATTTTAACACACGAAATATAATTACTTTGTCCATACGGTAACCCATGGTTTAAGATCTAACAAGGGTAGAATAACTCAGTGCATATAAAAGTAAATGCACATTGTGAGGAGAGAATAGACTGCTGAAACATGAAACGTGGTCAAAAAGGTATTTCTCAGTTGGGCAGTTCACTAGCAAAAATACTACAAGAACCGAATGCTTGTGTTGGCTCATGGTTGTGAAGTTTACTCACGGTGTGAAGTTGACTTGGTCAGTCAGTGTGGTGGTACCGGAGAATGGAAGAGCGCGCACCTAGGTACTACATGTCTGATCGAGACGCTGACAGAAGCTGTTTACACAAAATAAAGACAACAACTGAACAGTCGCCATTTGGTGATGGACAAAATCAATTTCATTGTGTGTAGCGCACAGAGAGTCTCCCGGCCCTATCAAATAGTCTATCAAAGGTGTAAAAAATGTGTCAGCGCCAAAGTGTGTTTTGCTCAAAATGATAATACGTTCCAATCCTAGACTGTGTGCGTGAAAGCAACCTGGACAACCGCTTACCTACGTTCAATATGCGAATACTAGACTGCTAGGCGTCAGCGTAAGTAATTAACATAACATTCGTTTGCAAAGAATTGTTCCTTCATTCACTTTGATATTTCGTTTCAAGTTGATATTACAGGATATGTGCGCGTGAAAAAAATGTAGATACTCATGAGACATATTCATATTCCTCGTTAATCTAAACGCGATACATGGTAGTGTATATATACATGGTGATTGACGAGAAACAAAAAATTTAAAGATTTTCCTTATATTTGAAGTTGAGAAATATTTAGAATAAGGCCTGGATTTGAAATCTAGGATTTGAAAAACTCGAGTCGAATCCTAATTCTATTAAATAACAATATCTAATTAAAAAGAGTACACATCAATAAATCTAGTATAATATTGAAATAAAGAATTCTTAGAAAAATATTTACTTTACTTTATTTTTTTATTGCGGATATTGCATTGTTTGATTGATCATTCAGATTTTATTCTAAATACTTTTTATATCTTCAAATATAAGAAAAATATTGTTTTGTTTCCAGTGGCCCACCTTGTAGAAGCAATATTTATTTCTGTCAATTAACTATTATATCGAATAAATACCTAGTGATATAAGTATATCAAGAATTTATAGCAATTTGCAGCAATCGGATAAATTATTTTAATGTGTATTCACGATTAACGTATTTTTAATAAAAACAGAGTACGTAATAACCAAAAAATAAATAAATTATATAAATATATTCAAATATACAGTCACTGTGTACATAAAAGAAATAAGAAATGTATCTTTGTCTTTTGTCTAAAAACAAAATATAGCTGCACAATAAATAGAAAGAACTCATTATTTCGATACACTATTTTTTGGCATGTTAAAAAATATATTCGACATTTTGCTAGCAGTTTAGCATAACATATATAGAAGTAGATAAAGTTAGTTTAGTACCAAATAAATCGTAATATCTATCTCTAAAGAGTCAAAAAATATAATAGCCGCAATGTAGCACAGATCTGTATTTGCGACGAGTCAGTAAAACAGAATACCAATAGAAACAAACTGATCAGCTACATGTTGTCAGTTTGTCGCGGAGAACTATGCGAGTCTCCTCTTAATGTATTGCGCATTTCTTTTTTTTTTTTTTTTCATGTTTGGTTGTTTGGATTATACTCTGACTTACCGACGAGCCTGCAGCCGCCTGCGAAAATACGAGGGATGTGCTGTGATTGACTCCCTTCAGAGCCAATGAGTGAGTGAAAGGGTGGTCCCCATACACAGCATTCCTAGGCGTGTGCGTTTGCTGTGTGCGACGCACGCTGCCTGTTATTATAATTATAGCAACGAGTCATGGCTCCAATTGTTCAGAGCTAATATAGCACACACGCACTTTACCACAAAATACTTAAAAGCTACGACTTTCGAAATTCTCGTAATCCTCTCTTGTATACATATATTCAAATACATTTACATTTTAAGTGTACACAGAGAGAAAGAAAGAGAGAGAGAGAAAGAAAGAGAGAGACAGAAAGAGAGATAGAAAGAGTCTAATTACCAACATCTGCGATAGAATGTGTATGCGATTGGACACTTTCAATATTGCAACAAGACATTTTCATCAATTTGCATCCCTAAGTTTTATCATTCAGATCACGTAGATGTTATGCATATGATTTGTGTCCGATCGCAACATATATACGATAGATATTAGCGGCAATTCATCGATAAACATTAAAAGATGAGTTCTTTCTTTCGTGTATAACACGAATTCATAGATTTATTATATTGCTGTATACCTCTGATTTTATCTAAATCAATAAGAACTAACATAACAATGTTTTTGTACATTCAATATTCTCAAGATTTACTCAAATTTTGGATATGTAAACTATACATCCGATTGACATTATTAATGTATTCAAATGTCATGAATTTATAAATGAACCGATAAAAATATATATAAAATTAACATCGTGAAAAAAAACAACAATTAATAATACAAAGTATTACAAACATATACTTGAAATTCTGAAAGATAAAAGATAAAAAATATATTGCAAAGTTTTATATCAAAACAATAAAAAAAGATACAAGAAGATAAACAATAAGAGTAGATATATAAATACTCGAAAAAAATATACACATATTATATATTATCGCTAATATATGAATGACACGATTAAATCACTTTATCTGACCTTGCTGCATCTGAAATGCATTATTTTATTCCGTTGACTTTCCATTATTTTGCAATGAGTTCTATTTAATAAGCAGATATGTTTATAATGCTTCGTAGGCCGAGTATTACACATACACAACATCAATTTTTTCATGGATATTAATAAATCAATGAAAACTTTTCCGATATATTTTTAAGAAACATCAAAATTCTATCTTTCATGAATACAACAAATTTTTTATGGATAGAAAAAGAAAAAAAAAAAAAAGAAAAATCTCGAGGAAAAATAAGATTTAGAGGTACTCGTAATAATAATAATTACCTTCATGACCTCCCTGAATTTGCCAATTTCTCGGGTAATCAAGTCTCTTTTACTCTCTTCTATTTCCGCATCGTCCAAATTTAAGGATTTAGATACCATTTTTGTCTGGTGTTCCTCTACAATAAATTATAGTAAGATACTTTCTTGTATTCTATATAAGAAAAGTGATTAAGTAAATAATTACCTGGAGCCACCTGCGCCATTTCTAGATCTACAGCATGTTCAGATATGATTTGGTTGATGCGAGTGAGCGCGTCTGCGTCGACTACTCTCATGCCTTCATCCATATAATCTTCACCTTCTTCGCCATCAGCTCCTTCGCCGAGCGTTTCATCTTGCAGCGGTGATTGACCACCTCTGAGTTTCTTCCTTCGTTCAGCTATGAAGTAAAATGTTATAATTTACTTTATTAAAAATCTTATTTTACTTCTTACCTTTATCAAGAACTTACTTTTGAATTGATCCAAGACTACCTTAGCTTTAGCATCCACTTTAACAACAAGTTTTTTAGTGCCTATTTCCATGTCATGGAGCAAACGGACTGCTCTGAGACCAGCGTCAGGACCCGCATATTCACAAAAGCCGAATGCTTGTACTCTCTTCCAAGAGAGAACATGCCCACACGCACCCAGAATATGTCGTATCATTACATCGGGCGCTCTATCCATTATATTACCGATGAATACCGTTACAGGTGGACCAGATTCTCTCTCGCGCCTTCGATTGTTATCGTGGCGATTTTGATTGCGTGAGTACCGTACGGCTGGCGCAGATGTCTGCATCGCAGATACGGGTGTTGGAATCATCTATGTTTTATAAATGGTAGGATTCTTAATTATGCACATGTCTACTCATGCACTCCATTTTTCCCCTCCCTCTCTAATAGCACGATTAATTATTTTTATGTCAATTAACTAAATATTGTTATGAAGTATCGAATTGTCCATTATTCTTTGCATATCATGCATTAAAAAAATTTAAAGAAAGCTATGTATATACAATGTATATATATGTGCTTTATATGTAGAAAATAATACAGAATAATATGTATTAATCAATTTTCATTATATATGTGTGTTGCATGTAAGATTATGCTTTTACATATATTTTATAAATTGCAATTCCAAAACAAATTTTTTAATGGTAGCAAAAGCAAAAATATTATATACAAATAACCATTTAACTCGTATAAAAATACAATGCATTTACATTGCATAAACAGTCAATCAATATCAACATACATCTATCATGCTTTAATGTAATAAGTTTACTTACATGGGTCATAGGCATGACTCCACCTATAATCGGTGGAGGTGGACCAACCATGTATGGCATCGGAGGCATTCCTGGGATACCCATAGGTGGTTGACCAGGATAAGACATGATTATGACAAATTGTTACTACAGCAATTGAACACTCTGTAACAACAGATTGCACAAAAGTCAAATAAATCAAATAAAATTAAGAGTAGATTTAATCAAATAAATAATAAACTATCATCTTATAATTACAAATACAATAATAATTTAGATTAGTATATACTAGTATACTAGTTTTATGACAAACAAATTAATCTTCAGTTACATTATATTTTAATATAATATTTTGGATCAAGTTCTGATGTCACAGATATATGCTATGTCAAGTCACAAAGAAAAATACTATTAAACATATAGCTTGTAAAATGATTTCTAGAAATGGAACAGTATAAATTCAATTTCCATTTTTCCAAACTATATACTTATTATACACATAGATATGATTAATTTCTGACTAAGCTTGAGAAAAAAAATTCTGCGTGTATGTGCATATTGTATGTGTAAAATACATTCTTTCTCTTTCGTTCTAATCCTTTCTCACTCCTTCATTTATTCTCACTTTCTCTCTCTTTCTTTCTCTATAGCCTCTACAGTAATCTAGAGTTTAGGATGCTTGTTATATCTCTGCATTAATTTTACAAAATCGAACGAGTTCACATAGCGTATTTCTCACGAAAAGGCTCGACATAGTTATCGGTAATACTCGAACCGTGGAAAAGCGAAAGCTTCAATTGCCGACACGGCAATTTTCGCAAACGCCCGACAGAGAGATGTCAATGATGATGGATTTTAACCACCAAAACCCAGCACGGGGAAGTGATCGTTGTAGCTATACTCACATGGCGAATTGGATCAAACTACAGCTATCGTGTTAGAAATCTACGTGTCATTTCGATAAAACTGTCGGATCGAGGCTGAAATTCTCACTCGGAACGCGGCAAAATACCACTCCAATTTTCAACAGAATTAATACGATACAATACGATTGATACCACACCACGGTATATACGCACCTTGTAGAGTTGCTTCGATTGCATCAAAACGCCGTCGCGTATAGATACGCAAATTAACGTTGGCGACACTGTCTCTAAATTGGACAATTTGAATTATGCTTTGAATTGCAGCAGGATATTTTCTGTTGCAACTACAAATTTTATTTACATTGTATTTATAATTTTTTATTTTATTCTTTTTTTCCTTTTTGCTCCAATCCAAAAACGAAAAGAGAAATTAAGAAAGCTTCTGACGTCTTGCTGTTGGCAATTCTGATCGAATGGTGGGGGGTCAGAAATTCTACGAACCAACACACCGGAGTGGAGTCGCTTCAGTCGCGACTTTACAGTCGGTCGAGAGGGGTTTATCGTGTGATAATTCCATACCACAATTTATCGCACTACCTATTGGCGACCTTCCTTCCGATTTCTCGCGTGTGCGTTCAGTGGCGGTTAGTATTCTCGGTCTTGCCTCTCGGATTTGTGATGCTGGATGTCGTAGCTTGCGCCCGAGCCTCGCCATCTTTGTCTGTCATCGTCGCCGTCGACGCCGCTGCGAGAACGGTTTCGGAAAACGTGTCTCCGATGCTCGTCGATCATCGTGGTATTTTCGTCGCGTGAGAACGATATTAATTCCGTGTGAAGCTAATAAAATTCTTTGTTCGCACGCGCATTTGCGGCAGGTCGATTTGACCTGCGAGAGGAAAAAAGGGAAGAGAGAGAGAGAGAGAGAGAGAGAGAGAGAGAGAGAGGAGAGAGAGAGAGAGAGAAGTAGAGAGAGGGAGAAAGAGAGCGAATGGTCTTTTCTTCGGTGAGGAACTTCGCAGGACCCTTCAAGGACATTTTCGGGACGTCCCAGGGATACCTTTAGGACCTCCCGGCAGCATCCCTGATCCGGTGGGATGCTATATTGAAGCGAGCGGTGGCAACCTTCTATGGACCATTCGCAAGAGTGAGTATAGATTATAATTTAGACTATCATAGAAATGTTTAAGTAATCAGCCGATATAAATCACTGACAGATACACTCCTTCGATAAACGATTTGCTGATTAAAAAAAAATTGTTATATATAAGATAGGATTGTTGAATCGCTAAATAAATAAACATATAACGTTCAAATTCAATTCTAAGTGTTATTAAAAGTATGAATCATGTGCTAATTATCGCAAATAAAAATCATTTTTTTCTATGTCTTGATATAAAAATATGGTTGAATCAATTGTAAATTATGATTTTTTTGTGCTAAAAATAGGAGAAAATGTGTTTATTACTAACTAGTAATAGATGATAATCATTTTCATATATTACATGGTTTATGGAGTTCTAGGAAATTGTTTTGTTTGATTAATGTTTTACAGATTATTTAATGCTAATTAGTTTAATTATTTTTAACTGGAACATGTAAGAAACATCCATATCTTGGCAGGAATAACCGGCTTGATTCGTTTCCGTCGACTGCAATAGTCGTGGAAGCATAACTGAAGGTTAGCGACCATGACGCTAACAAACATCATTGTGCTTTGACTTCCTCAAGCATACATTATTTTATAATTTTCGAAAAAAATTAATGAATTAAAGAATACAAATTAATTCTTTAACTTTTATGTAAGGTTAATTAAATATTAATAAAAATAATAAAAATAACAAATATTCATGAATGTATCTAATTTTTGAGTGCGGAAAATAGGGAAAAGATAAAATATATATGAAGTATAATGAGATAATATTCATTCAAATCTTTTAAATTTACATTTTATATTTATAGAACTTTTATAAAAAAATATGCTAGAAGTCTATAACTTTCATTTTCTAATTAACGTTTTAATGATAATATGTAAATTGATGTTTTAATGATAATATGTAAATTTGAAGATCAGATTCGTTTTTAGTAAAATCTAGACAAAATACTTAGTTTTAAAGTTTTATTGAATAATATTAATAATTTTATAAAAATCATTAAAATTAATTAATGTTTACGAAATTATATAATAAGGCATATATTAAAATTTAATTTTTAATTTCATTTATAAATAATATTTTCATATTTTTTGTTGAATTGTTTAAAAAATAGAAATAAATATTTTTATTGAAAAATAATCTTATTTGTCTCATAATATAAATAGTTCACTAATCAACTTTTGTATTAATACATATGAATAAAGAGTGTTTTATTTTTCTTAAATTACAATATGTGAAAATTTTTTTAAATTTATTCAATATGATTTAATGGCAATCCTATTACGCCTCTATGTGCTCTAATCAATTCCTTTTTTTTCAAGGAGTGAAACTTTGTTAGCAGATAATTATCAGTGATTTATAGATATGTTATTTTAGTACATGATAAAATTTTTCCATTCATTTATTAGAATTTTAATGATATTTAGGAAAGCAGCTTTACATGACCATTGTGAAATTATTCTGCCACAATTCTAAAATCCTTTCTCGTCGGTTCCGAGTGAAACTTAATAAGACTTTTCCTTTCTCCTCTCGTCATTATAGCTATTTTGCCGTTATTTATCATAGACTTTAATTCTTAGTTATTATCATACATTTCATACATCACTCAATATCCAGATCATACTGCATTTAAGGTTTTACTGCATTAATAGTTTTATTCAACATAGTACATCATTTAATGCATTATTCTTGATTATCAATTAAAAATAATTACTAAGGAATTAGAGAATGTATAAAATTAATTTTATATAAATTATGTAATATTTATATTTGCAGAGATTTTTATTTTCTATATAAATAATTCACATTGTAATATAAAGATTAGATTTCACATAATGTAATAAAATGTACAACAAATAAAAAATATATGAATTTATTATATAATAAATACACTGGATACTTAATTTGTTATATTAATCTGAATAATCTGATATTTTTGATTTTGAACAAATTATTAATCTATAATATTTGTAAATACATACCATACTTAACCTTATATTTCTTATATTGCAAATTTATTTATTATTTAATTATTATTATTTAGTTATTATATGTTTTATGTTATTAAGTTTATATTAAAGGGAAAAAAAAATGCAACATTAAAAATTCATTATATGTAATAATCATATAATAATAATCAATTTGATATTACTGATGATATTCATTGTAAGAAATTTATTGCAAAAGATCTTGGATCTAGAATTCAAAATTAGATTTGTTTACTTTTGTCAACATACATCGTATTATTTAATCATTAAACAACGTTTTTGTTTCAATTAAAAAATAACTTTCTATATAATATGTTGATTCTTTTTTCATTTAAATTTACGTTAAAGATGATACAATATCAGAGCAATAAACTGTAATATTTGTGATAAGATTTATATCATTACAACAGTAAGATTCATAATATTGATTGGCTAACGAGATGATTTTGATATCAAAACTCTTTAAATTAAAATTTGATAATATTTGAAAGATGTTTGGAAGCTTCGGAATTACGTATTATTTTCGTATTGTTTTCTCATATCGAATGATTTTCAGTCTGTATAAAAATCTCGATACGAAACCGTGAGAGAGAACGAGAGGGAGGGGGGGGGGATAATACTTTTGCGTAGAACACACAGATACATTGCATTAGTGTGCTCAGTAAGTGTATTACTGGCTTGGTAGTCTGTCGTCATGTCATGAGTCATCGAATGCCAGTCCCAGCTGTATCCTCCAGTACTTTGGGATTGCAGAAACAGACTGCGTGGAACTTTCTTGCCGCACACAGATTTTGAGATTCGCTATGCCGTCCTCGCGAGGAATTTTCCAAATTTTTTCAAACATTAAAAATTTACATGATTAAAAGTAATCTATATTTAAATCTTATTATCAACTGTTTATTACGTTAAGTAGTTATTTCATTTGCTTTTACATTATTTAATAAATAATAATTCTCTTCGGGGAAAATAATTATTATAATTTATTTTGATATGTACATAAATAAATGTAAAACAACTAAATCAACTATTTTCCTCAAAGAATTGTTTCATATTTATATATATATATATATATATATATATAATAAAATTAAGTATTAATAACGAATAATAATTAAGTATTAA